ACCTTCTGGCTCCAAGGTGGGTACTCTTCATTATATCACAATTTCTTCCACAGCCCTAAGAGACAAGGGGATAGCAATAAACTGGAGAAATTGCAGCTTTGGCAGGCCAAATCCCTGAGGTCCATAGAAGAAAGAAAGTGTGGCTGGAATATATACAAACCCAAAAATGGGTCAAGAGAAATCCACAGCTCTTTAATTCTCAATTCCTCTAAAGATTACCTTGATGACTACGTCCTATTTCCTGACTCCTGAACTCTCTCACCACCTGACATTTAATTGCTCCCTGTGCTCAGAGGGCTCCTGCTCTCTGAGTCTCAGGATATATCACGAGGGAAGCTCCAGAGGGACTATGAGACCATTTATAGTCTCCATAGAGGGGGGAGATATTTTCACTTCTGCTAACATGAGGAAACCATCCTAGGTGATAAGGCAGCAGTTAAGGTTACAATTAAGGTTGTAGCACAGCCTCTCTCTGTGTTATCCTGAATGAAAATCAAAAAGACCATCTAGGGGCCACAGCAAGAGAACCCAAACCCAATTCCCTGGCATCTAGGGAGAAGAAAATTTTAGCATGGAGAGTCCCAAGCTCTACAGAAGAAACAGAAAGTAAAAGGAGGGGAAAAAACACTTGTTTTCCTTACTTAAGCCAGTCACCATCTTTTCAACTATGTTAGTGTTCAGAACTTCTTTGTTTTTCTCAATTTTTACTTTTACCCTCATTCTGGAGACCTGGGTAGCAAGGACTGTTGGCAGAAAACACCATGAAGGGCTTCCTTCTCATTCTGCGTGATGACCAGGGTCCTTTCCTCCATCCACTCCCTCACAGGGCATGCAGGAGTGCATTTCGCTAGTCTTTTCTTCGTTCTTTGCTAATTAATTCAGCATCTTGTCATGTCTGAAGCCCCCCAGTTGCTTAGGATTGAAAATTAGTTGGATATATTCCTTGACATGGAGAAAATATATTTCTATGACAGAGAGAAAATAATAATCTTTATAAGACAAAGGTGGGTAAAAGACATTCTCCTGATTCTCTTCCTAATTCTCTGAAATATATATACACTTCTTCATAAATGGCTCCTCCCCTTCTTTTCTTAAAATATAGTGTTTGTCAAGGTTTGGCCCCTAGTCCTATTTTGCCCTGACTTTACCCTGTCTCTGCTAGTGCTCTAACTCAGGCTTAAGACATCAACTGTCATCTCCATGCAGGTGGCTTCCCAAACTCTTTACCATGGGACTCCCTATAGTGAATATGATAATAATGAACCATCATATAGTATCTTATTGTGTATCAAAATCTTTCATAAGTATCATCATCATATTTGATCTTGACTTCAATTCCTTGAGAGAAATATTATCCCAATTAGTGAAAAACAAATGTTTAGTGGATACTTACCACATGCCAAGTATAATTATAAGAACATTCCACATTTTGAAGAAGCACAATTGTAGTGTGGATGTCAAAATACAGATTTGTGAGACACAAATGAGGGGCCTGTGACTAAGGAGACCATGCAGTGGTAGGGCAGGAGCTTTCCTATTTTACCCCTATTGTCCTGCCTTAATTATTAATCATGGTCCCTTTTACCATTAAAAGTGTTGTAGTTGGAATGATAAATTTTAACTGATTACTTAAGGTTCAGGGTATTGATGCAGGGAATGCTTTCTGCTACTATAAATGTGAGAAGCTGAGATTCAGAGATCATAAATTATGAGTCCATAGTCACATCACCAAAAATCAGAACTTGAACTTGGGTTTTTAGATCTCTAATTTTGAAAATGTCATGATATCTCTTTCCTAGACAGATGTTTAGATTTGACATGAATCTTCTAGAAAAGCTGCATCCATTTCTATTATGAGTGTAACCCTAAATTACTATTTATTACCCTAAATTACTAAATTACTATTATCATTCTCAGTTCCATGTGTCTTTGATATTTATGTATGTGTCTGAATATGGATTTAGAAATGGGGAGGGACTTAAATTTTAAAGATTTTTTTAAAAAATAATCTTTGAAGTTATGAGGACATTTTTAAAATTGTGATTAATAAAATCTTAGTCTGAAATGATGCTATTTTCATTAGACATTTCTCATAGGTTTTCTTTGCTTTAAATTTTTTCCTACAGAAAAAAACTCATGTTTATACAATACTGCTTTAGAATCAGCAGCAATGTGACTGGTTTCACCTCCTGTACCACTGGTACCATGTATTACAATATTCATGTTTTACTGTGTTTTGAATGGCTGGGAAGGGTACTTGCATGTGAGATGCAGTAGGCACTTAAGCCATGGTTCCTGATCTTCTCTATTGTGTATGTTATTTTTTGCAACTCAGCATAATCCAGCAGAAACCTCCATGGGTGCTCAGCAGTATGTTCTAACCATCGCCCCAAAACCATGTTATTTAGCATTAGCTATGCTCGTGCTGATATTACAGGAGTAATTTTTTACCTTTGCCCAAAGGACAAAATAACAGTTGCTGGGCACCTGCAATATGTCAGGCACCATATTGCATGCCCCAGACTGCATTATCTCGCTTCATCAATGCAAAACCCTTAGCATATAACACTCACAATCCCCATTATAGGGATAGGAAACTAAAGCCGTAGCAGTCACAAAATTAGTAAACAGGAGCCTATATTTAAAACCAAGTCTACCTGGCTTAAAAATCATGTCTTTCCTTATCACCATTCCCCCCATTGACTCCTCTCCTCCACAGAGAGAGCAGTAGAATTATTCCCTATATTTTCCAAGGTAACACCAGGAATATCATCATATTTATTCTTCATAGCAGTTTTGTAAGGTAAATATTATCCCAGTTAATTAAAAGTAAACATGTACTGGGTACTCACTATATACCAAGCACAATTGTAAGAACATCTCATATTTTCTAGGATTTTTTTAATTTACTTTATTTTGATTTCCAACACCTAACCGCTTCTTTTTCTATTTATCCCCCTACATTTTCATGCTTTAAATGTCACATATTTATTTTACTTTTTTCTGTACTATGTTATTAAAATTCCTTTCCTAGGACTATGTTAAAATGCATATATAGCAATTATTCTTTTTGCACTCTCAGTTCTTTGAGCCTAACAGATATGGCTCACAACCCACCCCAGATGCCTATGTAAAGAGATGACAAACCCAGAATACAGGGGCCACCAATGGCCATGCACTCTTTCTTCAACCACTTAAGCACAAATAAGCTGACTTCAGGTCCAAATGATCTCCTATGAGAAGTAGACAAAAGCATTCTGGAGGAAAAAAAGTGAAAATACTGGCTTTCCTTCAATATGAAACCCAAAGCATCCAAAGATTCAAAGAACCCAACACAATGAATGGAATCTCTGTAGACTTATTACCATAGATAGTAATAAAGTAAATCAGTTTCATTAATATATTATGATAACACTAGATATATGTAGTACCTATGGTATGTGAATAATTTCTCCTATTTAGGATATCTTTACACTAATTCCTTTTCGCATCTGCTTCTTTTTGTTACAAAACTTTCCACTAATCATGATTTTCTCTTTTTTCTTCTCTTCAGGGAGGTCCATTTTCCCTTCTTAACTCCCTACCTCCATCTACCATATGTTTTTTCCTCCAGCAAGAATATTTATGATTACTAGCAATTTCGAAGATATTCAAGGCTCATTTTATCTTTGCTAGCTCAGGAATGAGACACTCTACATTTCATTGAATATCTAAATTTCTTTTATTAGGCATGGAATCTGAAGCCATAAGAAGGCTCACTACAACCATTGCTTTCTAGGGATAATAAAAAAGCCTTAAATTAGTCTAAGGAAAAAAGGAATAATTTCAGAGCTTTCAAAAATTTGATTCAAATAAACACATTTATTGGGTGCTCGTATTTCCTTGATCTTAAAGATACAATGGTGAACAAAATGGACATCATCTTTTCATAAAATGTATAGTCAGTATATTCATACATTAATGTCCAACTTTCATTCATTCATTCTCCTAACAGATATTTAAATGCCAGATATTCACAGGCACTTTGATAAATGCTGCAGCTTCAATGACAAATTATAGTCTTTACTCTCAGATATCTTGTAGTCTAATGGCACCTGAACTCAATTCCATCAGCATTTCCTGTATATGTATGGGTATATAGATGTGTGTGTATATATATCCATATATATATATATATATATATGGATAATATTTATCTATCTTACTACTTCCAGTTTTTAGGAGAATAAAATTATCAATCAATAACCATTACTTATAACAGAGAATCAGAGAAACTGACCAGGAATTGTGAATAGAGATCAGGGCAATTATAATTAGATAATTTTCATATACTTTGGGTCCCACAAAAAAGTCATGAAAGTAAAAACAGCAAGTGAAAACATCCTGTCTTCTTGGGTAATTCACAGGAACCTCTATTCAAGCACTGTGGCAGCTGACCACAGCACAACCCAGTGGCAGTTACATATTCTAGGCATATCCAGTTACCTGACTTTTTCCCTTGAGATAAAACAAATAGTGAAATTAACAGAAACAGAGAGCAGAAAAGTGGCTGTCATGGGCAGGGGAGAGAAGGAAATGGGGAGTTACTAATCAATAGGTATAAAGTTTCACTAATGCAAACTGAATACGTTCTAGAGATATGCTTGCTGTACACCACTGTGCCTACAGTTGACAACACTGTATTCTACACTTAAAAATCTGCAAAGGGATAGAGTAGATCTCATGTTAAGGGCTCTAACCACAGAAAAATAAAAATTTTTATAAGGCATAAAACATACAAAAAATTCAGAATTGAAATATTTTAGTTTCATTATGCTATGGCTTCAAAAATCCCATTTGTTAGTAAAGATTAAATATCTCATATTTCCATCTTTATATATGATGTGACTTCACTAAAACCTAAAAGCTAAAAGCTAAAATGTAATATGCATCTTAGCAGCTAATCTCTAAACAATTTAAAACCCCTGGAAAATAAACAAATTAGTCACTGTTAATTTTTTTCAGACAAATGAGTATTTCCAAAGAAGAAAATACTAAAACTTCAAAATATATTCAATTAAATTGGCATTAATATAACCCAAATATTAATGTTCATGCCACTGTATCTCAATCCATTGTTCCTGTCAGAAGTGTGGGTGACCAATTGACCTTTGATGAATAATTAGGGTATTTGACCACATCTTTGAGTAGCTGTAGAAATGTTCTGGAAAGGAATCAGGAGGATCAGATTTGCAGGTTGGTCTATTTTAGGGCATGCACTGTTGTGTACATTCATTATGTTCATCTCTTCAGTACTGAGCTCGTTGTTCTCTTAGCCTATCTAGCATTTCACCATATTAACATTTTCTTTTGCTTTGTATCCGTATTCATGAAGGAATGTATCTCAAGATGTGAAGATCTACATATGCTTCACTAGACCCTAAATGTCTTTGGGAGAATTCCTAACTCTTAATTTCAACATTATCTTTATGCTTAAATAAAGATGGGTGCCGGTGAATATATTGGTACTGTACCTACCACAATCAGCCTCCACATTCATGTCTTCATGTCTTTTGTGAACACCCAGACCACCGTTCCACCAACATGAGGAACCACACATTGCTGAATGAGTTCATTCTACTGGGAATACCGCAGACAGAGGGTCTGGAGCCTGTGCTCTTTGTTATCTTCTCATTCATCTACCTCTTCATCCTGCTTGGAAATTCACTCATTCTTCTAGCCATCGTTTCTTCCTCCACCCTTCATAACCCCATGTATTTCTTCTTGGGACTCCTGTCTATTTTTGACATGTCGTTTCCATCTGTAACCTGTCCCAAGATGCTATTCTATCTCTCTGGCCAGAGCCGAATCATTTCTTTCAAAGGATGTGCTGCACAGCTCTTCTCCTATCATTTTCTGGGTTCTACCGAAGGCTGCCTCTATTCTGTGATGGCTTATGATTGCTTTGTTGCCATCTGTCACCCACTTAGGTACATGCTCATCATGAAACCTGGAGTCTGTGTGGGTTTGGTGATGGCAGCGGGGTTGGTGGGTTGTCTTCAGGCCACCACCTTGACCTTCTTTACCTTCCAGTTGTCCTACTGTGGCCCCAATCAGGTGGAATATTTCTTCTGTGACATACCTGCTGTTTTACCCCTGGCTTGCACTGACAGTGCCCTGGCACAGAGAGTGGGTTCCATAAATGTTGGCCTCCTGGCTTTCATGCTTCTGTTTAGTGTTTGTGTCTCCTATGCTCACATTGGGATTCTCATCTTGAGAATCCATTCAGCAGAAGGCAGGCAGAAAACGTTCTCCACCTGCAGTGCACACCTCACTGCAATCCTGTGTGCCTACGGACCAGTAATCGTCATCTATCTGCAGCCCACACCCAAGCCCTTGCTTGGTGCTGTGGTGCAAATATTAAATAATATTGACTCACCCATGCTGAACTCCTTAATATACTCTTTAAGGAACAAGGAAGTGAAAAGGTCCCTGAAGAAGGTATTCTAAAGTGTTGTACTTGCTGTTGGGGAATAAATTATGGATTTTATGATGGATATTATAATAGAAGCTTGTTGTCTTTTAAAATCATCCCCTATTTCCTCCTCTAAAATAAAAAAGTGCATATTAGAAAATGCTTCCTCTGAAAGCATATTTTGGTTGCCTAATAAGATTTCCTATGTTTGTGTTCCCCTGTAATCCCTGAGACCTTATAAATAACTCAAAGAATTAATAATATTCTTTGTGCCTTAATTCTGAGTAAGGAATCCAAGGAGCATAGGAAACAGCTGGAGACAGATTTCTTATTCCTATGGCAGACAGCCAATTTTGCTTAATTGAAGGTAGAAAGGATATTTGACAGTCCAAACGTACCCTTCAGTAGTTCCTCTCTGTGCCAAGTCAACATTCATTTCTTTTTTTTTCCATTTAGAATGTAATTTTCCTATATCTTGCCTATGAGCATTTTGGTTCTTTGGTCCTGTTAATAGGAGTGTTAGCTGCCATTTCCAGAGCATGATCTGTCTTTCAGGCATTGTGATGAACCTTTCTCACATATGATCTTATATAATCTTCATATCACCCTGGAAAGTGATATGAAAATTACACTCTACACTACTACATTTACTTCCTTTTTTTATTCTAAGTACAGAACTTTTATTTTTTTATTTATTTATTTTATTTTATTTTATTTTTTTCTTATAGCGTATTATGGGGGTACAAGTGTTAAGGTTACTTATATTGCCCATGCCCCGCTCCCCCCTCAAGTAAGAGCTTCAAGCATGTCCATCCCCTAGACCAATATCAAGTACTGAAATTGAAACAGCAATAAAAAAACCTTCCTAAAAAGAAAAGTCCTGGACCAGATGGTTTCACACCTGAATTTTACCACACCTACAAAGAAGAACTGGTGCCTATCCTGCAGAAATTATTCCACAACATCAAGAAGGATGGAATCCTCCCCAACACATTTTATGAAGCGAACATAACCCTGATACTTTCTACATTTTGTAGAAAAGAGCTTTGAGAATTACAGAATTCAAGTAAAGAATCCAAGGTGACATATTAAGTAGAAAATTGGACCTCAAACTCAGATCTAGTTAGCTCCAAATGCCCTGCTCCTAACCCCTGCACTTTGTGGCTGCCCTAAAAGACCCACCTGGCAATTTACTCAGCTTCATTATCTCTCTCCAGAGCTCATGATATAAAGAACTTGTTCAGTGAATAACTAGTAAAATAAGCATTATATAGACTATGTTTGTATGCAAGGGACCTTCCATATCCATGGGTTCCGCCTTTGTGAATTCGACCAACCATGGAACAAAAATATCCAGAAAATAAATTCCACAAAGTTCCAAAAAGCAAAACTTGAATTTGCCCCACATGCATACTACATTGAAGCCTCTTGAATGAAGTGATGTGTAAGCATTGTATTTGCATTATAAGAAATCTAGAGATTGTTTAAAGTATATGATAGGCCACACGTAGGTTATATGCAAATACTATACTATTTAAATAAGGACTTGAGCACCCTTGAATTTTGATATCCACAGGGGGCCTGGACCAATCCTCCAAGGATACTGAGGGATGGCTGTGTGGACTTTACTAGTGTTTTAATTTATTATGTTCCAGTACCCATTGTTCTCATCAGTAGTTGGTAGCACTAAGATATAGCAATAAGTGTTGTGCCTATATAACACATGTAGTTATGGTAAAGCCAACTGTGGCCAAACCCTTTGTAACTCCTACTGTGTTATGTTTTTTCTACTGCACCATGCTGCTAAAATCCCAAAGCACTCTTTAGTGTAAAGACAGCAGGAAAACCTTCCCATGCAGTGTTGCTGAAGATGGCCTAATTATGAAATTCAATCAACATGCTTATTTTGTTCTCTCATCAAGGTACATTTTCCAACTTGGCTTCTAACAAGACTGGAGTTGATAACTATTTCTCAATTTTCTCAGAATCCAAGGAGAAAGAAGAAGTACTATTTACCTGGGATCCCAAAGAGACACCAGCTCTTAATTTTCATGACATTTTAGTTATGTGTAGTTTTGTGTTCCATTTTTGCTTCCAGTTCTCACCCTATGTAAAACCATTAAGAGAAAACAATAAGTTAGAAATCTCTAATTTAAAAATAAGTTGCTTCCCTTACAAAAAGCACCAGACAAATAGGACAAAAGGAAGGTAAATCAAGCATAGTTAAATGACTTGAGGTGCTAAGTGAGAATTCTATGGTCCCTCTTAACTTGACTGGCAAAAGCCGAAGATCTCACAGAGTAGTATTCCTACGCTTTGGAGACGTCTATTCTAGATGATATGTTAGATCCAAACAACTGTAGTAATAACATTAGTTTGCCTTTCTATTAATACTGGATATTGGTGGGAGAACCTACATGCCATGATATCTGGTAAAGTCTGGATAGTATTTAGGGACAGATATTCACCATATAGATACTTACTTGTTCAATGGACTTCTCTTCCAGACAACGGACAGTTGCATAAGGGTAGGGACTATGTTTGTCCTATTTACTGTTTATCCACAGTACATAGCTCAGTGACATAGTAAACTTCCAGTGTAGGACTATTGAATAAATGAATGAATGCCACTTAGCCATTCAAATTATGATGTAATTGCATATTGATTAACATAGTGAAACATGAATGAAGTAATTAGGATACAGAATACCAACATGCCCCAATTTAAATATATCCTTATTTAAGTAAAATTGAAGATAAAGCCCTCCAAAAGTCCCTTCTCTTAGCCAACTTTGGCTTGAATTTATCCTTATCAGCTCTCTTTCTCTAACCCTTCTTTTTATTTTCCACAAGTGACTCTTTCTTTTCTATTTTTCATTAATCTTTCCCTCCTAGCTGCTCCAATTCTCCCAATATCAATACAATCAATACACTGATTCTATAAAATAAAGACCTATGGGATCTGACAGTCAAAGACAGAATTCCTATAGCAGTTGAAAGAACTAAAAAGATTGTGAATTCTTATCTTATTTTGTTCATCTCCATAGAAATGTGTCTGTATATAAACGGACAATTAAAATGGTGTATGTATCCAAATATTACAAATGAACAATATAATTCTGGGGAATTTTTTCCTATCTTAATTATACTTTTTGTGTTGCTTTTATTATTTTTGCAATGAGTTTATAACTTTTTTAAGAAAGCTATGTTCAAGAAGGGTAAATCTTGAATCTCAATATAGGATCTCAGTATGGGATCAAATGAGGCTGATTATCTAAAGCAGAAAGTTTTAAAAGGGAAAGAAATCCAGAGTAATTCCTTAGGAGAAAAAAACTAGACAATCATTTCTGAATCCCATGCTTTAGTATTTATTATGCTAGAATTTGTGAGGCATTAGAGATTATGCCTAAACTCATTTGTAAGAAAACATTCTAATCGCACAGAGTGGGGTTCCATTATTCTCATTCTCATTTGTCACCCTCCTCTGCTGGTCCTGATCTGTGTGTTCCCAGAAGACATTGTGTGGGGGCTTTTCCTGATAATTAGAATCCAAGTGTGCTACTTAATGCACATTCGGTACAGAGACTTAAAATGCAAAAAAGGAATTTCTGTTTTGATATCATCACATGGAGATAAAGTAGGGCCTCAATCTACACACATTCCTAGTAGTATTTCTTTGACCTACAGACTATATTTTCTCTTTTTTCCTGACCAAGTACCTCAAAATCCCATAGCCCATGATCCTCCTTATCTGTCTCCCTGAACGTGCGTTTGCTTCCCCCAGGTGCTCTCCCCACGGGAGCTAGGATTGCCTCTCCTATTCTCTCGCTCTCCTACAAAATACTGAAACACACTTCTGCTTAAAACTGCCGTAAAGTTTTAGAGCCTTCTAATATAGAGACCACAATCTTTAAAGTGACCAACAGAGCCCTGAGGCGTAGTTTGCTTTTCTGCCTCTCAAGCTTTATCTCAAGTTTTTTCCTATCTTTCCTCGGGTTCTTCAAATATTCTAGGATCCTTTCCAACAAAGTCTTTGCACAAACTATTACCCCACCTAAAAAGGTTTTTGGCCTCTATCTTTCCTACACTCTTGGTCTTCAGATTTCAGCTGGGATAACTTTTTTTTGTATCCCCGTCAGGGAAGTCCACCCCTACCTTGAAGAAACGTCACCCAGCCACACAAATCATGATGTAAATATGTACTCACTGACATGAAAGAGAAATATGAGTAGGACACAAATATTCTCCTATTATAACTTTTCAATCTGTTGAATTTCTCTTCCTAGCACTTACCACATTAACTAATTATAATTTGTAGGTATGATTATTTGATTAATGTCTCTATCTACTAGAGTAATCTACTGGGGCAGAGACCACAGCTAATTCCTATTCTTCAGGACAAGGCACTTTGGGCCCATCATGGTAGCTGCTAATAAGCGTTTGACCCCATAAATGTTTAATTGACTTCACTGAAACCTCTAATTCATTCACATGATCTTCTCTCTTCTTGGTACGTTTCTTGGCTTTACTTAGTTATTGAGTTCAGATTTCTTAATTTTATTAATTTTTTAATAAAATAAATTTTTTAAATTTTATTAATTTCATTAATAAAATTAGTTCCAAATTGCTCAAATCCTTCTCTCCATCATGTCTCCCTGCCCAGTCTTCAGTGAGCTCATCCGCCTGCTCCACTCATGCACGCACCCTGCTAGGCTTTTCCAGAGAAAAATCACAAGCCAGGCAGTTTTGCAACACTACAAATTCATTATCACCTCCCTCAAGCATCTGCTAGCAATTCTATTACTTTTCTTTCATGGTATTTCTCCCATTCCCTGTTGGAATGACTACTGACATGGCTTTAGAGCCTAAGACTTCCACTCAGCTCCTAGGTTCTGATTCACAAAGAATGAAAGCAGGAATCACCAGCAAGTGAGGTATGGAAAGACCAGCAAGATCTCCACATTCCCCATCACAGAGCTCTCTGGTATGGTGAGTGGAAATGTGGCTTAAACTGAACCCAATGGAGACTCTTCTTTCTTGGTTGAATTGGAGGCAACAGAACCTGTATGTACTGTAGTACAGGAGCTACTTGATTTACCCATCTGTCACAGGAGGGAAAGCTGACACAGGAGAGAGAGGGAGAGTAACTTTCTCCCCCTACTAGTTCTCCTTACTCCGTACCCTTCTCTGTCCCACACAGAGAGCCTAGATCAATACCCCTCCATCACCTAGTTTTTTGCATGATCCTTGTTACTGAGCACAGGGCTGTATGCATCGTAAGCCTTCGTGAATATGATAGCCTTTAATAAATTAAATTCCTAAAAAGTAAAGTGGTTTTTTTGCATGATAACTTCCTTAATAAACATTCATCTGATCTGTACCCCCATAATATGCCGAAATAAAAAAATAAATAAATAAAAATTAAAAATTAAAAAAAAACATTCATCTGGTGGAGAAAATAAAAATCCTGAGTACATGAATTTGCTGTGTAAAATAAAACACAAATTTAAGAAGTGATATTTCTTTGAAATCGGTATATTTATGAGATATCTGCACTCTCATGTGTACTGCAGCACTATTCACAATAGCCAAGACATGGAAACAACCTTGGTGCCCATCAGCGGATGAATAGATAAAGAAAATGTGGTATAAATACACAATGGAATACTATTCAGCCTTTAAAAAGAAAGAAAGACATCCTTTCTTTCTTTGTGACAACATAGATGAACCTGGAGGACACTATCAAATCAAATACACCAGGCACAGAAAGACAAATACCACATGGCCTCACTTGTATGTGGAATCTAAAACAGTTGAACTCATAGAAGAAAAAGAATAGAATGACAGTTACCAGGGATGGTGGGGAGATGTCGGTCAAAGGTATAAAATTTCAGTTAGACAGGAGGAGTAAGTTCAAGAGATCTACTGTACAACACAGTGACTATAGTTAACAATGTATTGAATACTTGAAAATGGCTGAGAGACTAGATTTTAAGTGTTCTCACAACAAAAAATAAGTATGTGAGGTAATACATATGTTAATTAGCATGATTTAGCCATTCCACAATGTATACCTATTTCAGAACATGTTGCACACCATAAAAGTGTACAATTTTTATTTGGCAGTTAAACTAAATAAATATAACTTCTTCATAATTTTATGAAATATAAATATAAATACTTGACATGCTCAAGACACAAATAGAATCTACATTTAGCACAAAGACCTAATCAAACATCGAACATTTGCTTTAAAATGTTGACAAAATACAACTTACAATTATATTTTTTTTACTTATGATAATTCTGGAACATCTCCACACTTTCTGTAGGAAAAGAAATATGAGCAAAACCGAGAATATATTTGAGTTATTTTTTTTAAAGTGTGCCCTATTGTGATCTTATCACTATTTATTTTGTAATAGCTATTGCCGCTGAGAACCTTGACCTTTTGAAAATGTAGAACATGAGTATTTTCACTCTGACCATCACATTAATTAAGCACATGCCACCTTAATTCTAAAACATTCTGGTTGACCATCTAAAATAGTCCATGACATCCGTCTTCCCCGAATAAATTTTTACCAGACCAAGGTAAATGTAATGGGATTTCACTTTCTATTTATAGGTTTATTTGTCATCTTTTTTGTTTGCACAAATTATTTTTTCAGGTCATGCTTGAAAACATTAGGATGGCAAAATTAACTTTTGTATCCTTTCATCATTAGTTAGATGTGCAACAAAATCCTTGTTTACTTTTTACGTAAAAATTCCAGATGTATTTAGAACAGTGTAACTACCTAAACATTCCCTAAACACTGAAACTACACAATTGGAAACTGTTAGATCTGAAGCTGAGAGGGAGACACACGAAGCCTCACGTGGAGCAAAATGCTGTTTATTTTGAACATCTGGGTGCAGATGGGTGGAGGCCAAAAGAGCATCCACCATGAGGGAGGGGAAAGCTTTGGGTTTTATAGAGGGTTTTTTTTTGGGGGGGTGTGATTGACACCTGCAGAGATAGGGGAGGGAGTAGTAGCTTCGTCCTTATCAGAGGGGATAGGAATGCCAGCGCTGCTGCTAGATTTACAACCTTTGGACTCTCTGGACTCCTGGGCTATTGTTTTACAAGCCTAAGTTTTCCATTAACTGCATTCTGTCCTATACATACTTTTTGGGTTTCCACTCTAAGTAAACCTAATAGAAACTTTATGGTCAAAAGTCCTAAAGAAAAGACCAACTCTCAATTCCTTCCAGAGTAAACATCATGATTTGGGGCAAGTTATTTGACTTTTTTGAACCTTACTTTCCTTTTCTGTAGAAAACTTCATCAGAGTTTTGAGTTTTAAATAAGACTGTAAAATATTATTTTTCTTCAAGATAGATTAGAAGTTTTTTAAGCAGAGGGACTATGTCTGACTTACCTCCTCCTGCCCCCAACTTTCTATCTCTCCTGGCAAATAATTAGTGCCTGACATATAAATGGCACTCAATATTTATTAAAATAAATGAAATTCATGTATGCATAAATAAGCAAATAAGTGAGTGCATCTGAGGAATTTGGTATTCTACTCCCCCAGTATTTGTTGAGTATTCAATGCATTTATCTTGGAAGCTTTAATAGATGCCAAGTAGTATAGGACAGATACTGCAAGTGATAGCTTAAAATTATTTTTGTCTTTTTAGCACATTTCTTCCCTCTTTCTCCTGGCAATAGTGTCTCCCCACTTCTCTACCCTTTGGAGAACTGCCCATCTCCATCCCACTGTATCCTGTCCCTGGTCACAGGGGTAGACATGTGAATCAGCCAAGGAAATCAGATTTGAATCTTGATCTGAGGCTGAAGCCTCTGATGGGGGCCCGGAGGCTGCTCCATAAATTCTTAACAGCCATGTCCCTGGGGCTGCCCCAGTCCCTGCCCTTCCTAGGCCTAGTTTTTCATGGTTTCTTTGATTCTCTGAGCTACCCCAGTTACTACTGCTTGCAATAAGTCAACCCTGTTGGCACTATGTAGTAATATAAGGTTTAATTTATTCATAAAAACAACACATACACATGAAAAAATCAGTAAATATAAAAATATCCCATAAATATGTGTGATGTATGTGTGAAATGAATTTTTTAAAAATTGTTATTCCACTGAAGTATTTTTACAAAGGAAATTATAATAATCAGATTCTCTCTCTCTCTCTCTCTCTCTCTCTCTCTCTCTCTCTCATTTATTTCTAAGGTCCAATTATACCAAGTATAGCAGTTAATCGCTCCCTTGCTCAATAGGTTCTTAACTTGGGGTAAGGAAGACCAAAGGAAGACCAAAACTTTTTAAAATCTCCTGTGTTTGGGAATTATTGCAGTTCCTGGAGTGAGACAGGAAATTACCATAAGGAAGCTAAAGCACATTTAAATTTGTGACATTCTATTTTAAAGTAACTGAGAAAACAAAGAATTCAGGATACCTACATGCAGACTGCAGGCTGATGGGAACTGAGGCACGGGAAGCTCCTTCCTGCTGCTGGGGAAGGAAGGGAACACGACACTAGCACCAGCCAGTTATGTTCCTTGCTTGCCAGGTAAGTGCTCAAATGTTGCCCTTCACTTTTATCTGGGCTCCCACTCCCTCCCTCCCCTCACAATCACCAGGAAAAAAATAGATAGTTTAGAGAGAAATCAATAGATGTAACTAAATAGAGACAGAGATAGGGTCTTAGGTACTAGAATACATATGTTGATCTCACTATAGAGATCTCACTGTATTGGAAAAGTTAAAAGAAGTAGAAAAATGTACCAGATTTTTTAAAAATATGAAACTTGGAATGGAGATTTTACTACTCCTACCTCTGTACCTTCCACTGCCACAAAATTGGGGAGTTGCTTAACTTGGGTCTGGTTAGACAATTACAGACTTTAGAGACTGCACTGAGGCTACTAGCTATTCGTGTATAGTAAGATATGGTGACTCCAAAGAATAAAGGCCTGGTAATTTTTGTTCATTAAGAGTTACCCAAGACCATTCTATTGGCTAGTTTCTCACTGTTGATCCTCAAATCCAAGGAGACAATGGGGGATGCTTTATATTTCATATGTGTGTTTCACATAATCATAAATGAATTCTTCAGAGTTGATGTCACCAACTTGTCTTAGATGAATATGAGAAATTTGGAAGAGACCTGGTTTGTTATACAGACATTAAGTATTTAGGTCCGTCCCTTTAGAATCACAAAGTAGCATTTGGAATCAATGCAATTTAACAGTGTATTCAAAGAATGGAAGATAGTAAACTAGTTGTGAGAGGCTTCTTGGTGAGATTATTAATGAGAGGTGTTTGCAATTAGAACCTGCACTGCAGAAAGATCCAGTGCAGGATGAAGCAGGCAGATCAAGACAATTCTCCCAGGAAGCACCACTCTGTAAATATTCAGATCTTTTGCTGTTTTCTCATTTCACTGATCTAAATACGGCTAATTTACATGCATAATAATTTAACCACACATTTCTTTTCACAGACACCCAAGAATTGATTCTTCCATAAAAATGAGAAATCTCACAGTGGTGACTGAGTTCCTGCTGGGAATCCCTGAGACAGAGGGCCTAGAGACGGCCCTTTCGTTCCTGTTCTCCTCGTTGTATTTATGCACACTCTTGGGAAATGTGCTCATCCTCACAACTATCATCTCCTCCTCTCGGCTTCACGTGCCCATGTATTTTTTCTTAGGAAACCTCTCCATCTTTGATCTGGGTTTCTCTTCGACAACTGCTCCTAAGATGCTCTTCTACCTTTCGGGGAACAGCCACACCATCTCGTACGCAGGCTGCGTGTCCCAGCTCTTCTTCTACCATTTCCTGGGCTGTACTGAGTGTTTCCTCTATACGGTGATGGCCTGCGACCGCTTTGTTGCCATATGTTTTCCTTTGAGATACACGGTCATCATGAACCACAGGGTGTGCTCCATCTTGGCCACAGGGACCTGGATGGGTGGCTGTGTCCACGCCATTGTCCTAACCTCCCTCACCTTCCAGTTACCCTACTGTGGCTCGAATAAGGTGGGCTATTACTTCTGTGATATCCCTGCAGTGTTACCTCTGGCCTGTGAGGACACGTCTTTAGTGCAGAGGGTAAGTTTAACAAATGTTGGTCTTTCGTCCCTCGTTTGCTTGTTTCTCGTCCTTGTTTCCTACACTTGCATTGGGATCTCCATATCAAAAATTCACTCAGCAGAGGGCAGGCAATGAGCCTTCTCCACCTGCAGTGCTCACATCACTGCAGTTCTTTGTGCTTATGGGCCAGTGATCATCATCTACCTACAACCCAATCCCAGTCCCTTGCTTGGTGCTATAGTTCAGACATTGAATAATCTTGTAACCCCAACGTTGAACCCACTGATCTACAACCTGAGGAATAAGGATGTAAAATCAGCCCTGAGGAATGTGTTTCCCAGGAGAAACTTCTCACTGCAAAATAAATGAGAAAATTTAAATCTTTGCTGGAAAAAGTTTGATTCTCCATTTCCTAAGAAAAATTATTATCTGCAGCTTCCAAGACATATTGAAATGGAATGTACCTCAAACCAATCTACCACTTAACATTGCTGTTTTAAAATATGTCTGTTTTCATATGTCCCCAAGGCTTTAGAATGAAAATCATTCTTATGGTCACTTGGCAGACAATGCACTGACTCTTACGCTGTGTGGATTCTCTTCCAACATCTCTAGCCCCTCTACCACACCCCCCCCCAAAATTTTTCTTAGCTCTTTAAAGTTTGAAAGAGTTAGGAGAATACAGTTTCTTTCTCATATCTGAATGAAAAGTGCATTCATCTATATTTAGAAGGAAATGAGAATGAAAGAAAAACAATCAAGAAACCCTACCTTTTACTACAGAACATAATCTCCAATTTTCTTCTAATCAATAACAAAGCTCAAAGTGATTTAAGTAATGTTCAAGGTAAGATATTTATAGCATGTAGTCTTGTGTGATTTTAAGAGTTTGCTGGTATACAGATTCCTTTGGTGTCTAGATATTCCCCTGCATTATTAGACCCCTGAAAGACTATAACAAAAAAGATTAGGGAAAAAAAGGAATGTTGATTTATGTCTGTCTCTATCATAGAAAGCCCATGTTAAAATTTTCATTTAAATTCAGGTAACAATAATAAATTTGCTTCCTTATGGACAAATATATGTTTCCTCCTTTCTCATAATAAGATCTATATAACATCTATGCATCTTATTTTGCTTCCTCTAATCTCTGCATTTCATAATGCTGAGGGAAATAAATAGGTAAATTTTATTTATAGAAATGATGTTAAATTTTATAATGAACATATTCTCATTGCTTTTTTCTGATTTTATTTTTCTTTATTTTTATATTTTACCTGCCAGTTATGTATGACTTTTTTTGTAAGCTACATTAAGTCCTTTTGGGAAAGAAATACAGGATAAATAATACATAGAAAGAAAGAAAGAACAAAAGAGAGGGAGGAAAGGGTGAAGGCAGGGAAAGACTGAAAGAGAGGGAGGGAGAGAGGGAAGGAGGAAGGAAGGGAGGGAGGGATGAAGGAAGGGAGGGACGAAGGAAGGAAGGAAGGAAGGAAGGAAGGAAGGAAGGAAGGAAGGAAAAGAAAAATGTTAGCTATATTTTAGAAGTAAAACAGCACTCTATAATGGAATAATTATTATTACTTCCCTTCTCTTACCTTCAATTCTTGTCTATCAACACGAGTGATTGAACATCAGTTCTCCAGGTGGAAACTATAAGCCATCATCCTGAGCATGCAGTGAACTATTAGAACATATTAACTGGGCTCCAGTGACAGTACATTCCAGTGACCAGCACTTTGTTATATAAGAATCTCTACTGTGAGATGCTGTAAATGTACTTCAGAAGCAACCAGCTAGTCACTCTACTAGAAATAAAATAGACACTAATCCAATTTCTAAAAAACTTAGTGACACTGAAGTTCCTTTCAGATAAGTAACAATTGGATTGGAATATTAAACATGTCAATCTTAAAGGATAAAATGTAATATTAATAATAGCTTAATTTTCACTTAGCTCTTTAACATAAACATCAAAAAATGTCATAACTATCCATAACTATAGAAAGGTTGTTATAATTTTATATGTTCTGTTAACTGGGAAACACAACAATCACTCCACCCTTGAACGCCCATGTTTCCTTTCCCGCTCTTCCCTTTTTGGCAGGCAAATGCTGAAACTGTATTTCATAATCTCCATTCTTCCATTCTTTGAACATGCAAATATGCACATGTACGCATGTGCACGTGTACACACTGTTGTTTTAATTATTTTACCACTTGTCAGAAACAGATGGCAATACTACAAAATAATAACACTTGTAAAGTTACAATGGTTTAGAAAATCTCTTTGAATTTTTCACAGCAATTTTCCTCTAATGTGTATTAAAATGTAATTCCATCTAGTCCTTTCTTTCTCCTCTCTCCCAATTGCTTCACTTTTCACCCAAAGGTCCTGTTTACAGGCTAAGAGTATTCCTAATTAATAATGATTTGGGGGGAAAGAGGAGCACTTTGCAATTCTGTAAATATCCTATTTCTCATAAAATTTTTACCTGCTAGTTTTAGCATCCATGAGTGATTCTTGTCTGAATCTATTATTATGATAATTGCCAAATAATGATTTTCCAATTGAACCATTCTCACTACACTAATTGGTTTTCTACCATATGGACGGTCTTTCCCTTTCCCCCTATATATTTATAACAAAATGACACTCTATAAAAAACTGAATAAAGCATATGATACCTATCTCATTGCTTTGTCAGCTGAAATCATGGGCTAAAATGATCACATTAGGACATTATCTCTCATTAAGGGAGGAATGTCCCTTTATAGGAGAGGAGATATAAAATATATCAAAGGAAGATGCTTCCATGGGACTAAATGACTTTTAAGTTCCCACCCGACTCTGAAATACTAATTCTGTGATTTCATATGGCTGTCTCATAACTGTAGACCCACTTATATGGTTGGAGAAATCAGAGTTTGGATAGAGGAAGGAAAGGGAAATGGGAGATTATAATGGAACAAAAAGAAATATTTGTTTCTTAGCATGAAATCTTTGCTCAGTTAGCTAACAAAAAAAAAAAATCCTCTTTCACTCACTTGTCAGCTAGTTGTATAACAGAGGGAGTGGCCTGGAAAAGGTAGAATGTTTTCTGAGTTGTCACTTTAAACACCCCCCCAACATTCGTTCTTTAGAGAAATTAAAACCTGCGTCCCTGTCCAAGGCCAGTAATTGGAGGGGCAGAGGAGTGTCCTTTGTTCTTTGCACCACAGGAGATGGCTCAAAGAAATTGTCTAGGCAGAGGTCATAAGGTTCTTTTCACCATAGCCCAAAGCTGAAAACTCCCTTTAAAAGCTCTGTATTACTGCTTATAAGGAGGATGTTGGTACTTTAAGACAAGAGTCTACCATCCTCCTCAGTTGCTGGCAAATTAATAAACTTCTCTTTTCTTCTCCTCAAACCACTTGTCTTCCTTCATTCATTTTGCAGCGGGGACAAATACCAAATTTTTAGTAACTGTTGCAAATATTAGATATGAAATACTAGGCAAGTACATCAGTCAAACAAGTAACAAGATTTATTTGTTTTAAGAATATAGGAGAGAAGTGGCACAGTCAGAATATGTTATAGAGAGATTGGAAACATTTTTCAAGACTAAAGATGCAAGTTCCCTGGACTTAAATCTCACAGTTGAACACAAGGCTGTTCATGATAATATAGAAATGAATAAATTTACATCAGAGCCTCTGGAAACATTGTAAACTCCTCTCAGACTGTGCATTAGAATATAAAACTCAACAATTCCTATACATATTATAAAAAGAAAATCAAAGTCTCAGGTCCACCACCTCATCTCCTTACGCAAAAGAGAAGGTAAAAGCCTCGGGCACCTGTGAAGAACAGGTCCCACAGATCATTCATTAAGGGAATTTCTTGCTAACCTTCCATAAGTAGGGACATGCAAATTATACCTATGCCTAGCACCTAAAACTAAAGCTTGTTCAATTCTATATTAATAATGAATCACAAGTTTATCTTACAGGTAACAGAACAGGAGGTAAGACAGAATCAGACATTCTTTCGCCTGCCCATGGACATCTATGTAATTGATGCTTCCTTCACTCCCTTATTTTATGTCAAATGTGGATTTCTTAGACCTCACAGGAATGTAACCACTTCCTCATCAACTGCACCACTTCAATCCCCACCCCACCCTACCCTCCACCCCACTTTTTCTTCTTTCCTTACACCGTTAAAGTGCTAAAGTTTCCAACCTCTCCTTCAGAAAAACAGCCACAGCTTGCCTGCAGTTAGTGTTTTTCCCAGGAGCATCCACAAAATCTTGGCTTAATAAACCTTCATTGATTGAGATTTTTGTCTCAGTCATTTATTTAGCTCAGTGATATGTGCTACCAACTATTTCACCCCAGGGGTGATATACCTCATCAATCTCAGCACAATATTATAGGATAGAACACAATCTATACAACAACCAATGCTGTATTGGAATTTCATATTTTCTTTCTTTCTTTCTTTTTAATTTCAGAGCATTATGGGGGCACAAACGTTTTGGTTACATGAATTGCCTTTGCACTGCCTGACAAGCATGCCCATCCCCAGACAGCATGCACTGCCTCTGTTAGGTATGGATTTATCCATCCCCTCCTCTCTCTCCCACTTATCTGACACCCTATGAATATGACTTCCCATATGTACACATTAGTGTTGATCAATTAGTACCAATTTAATGGTGAGTACATGTGTTATTTGTTTTTCCATTCTTGCGTTACTTCACTTAGAATAATGGGCTCCAGCCCCATCCAGGATAATACAATAGGTAGTTCATTATTTTTTTTTGTCCAAATAGTACTCTATGGAATACATATACCACATTTTATTAATTCATTTGTGTATTGATGGGCACTTGGGTTGTTTCCACATCTTTGCAGTTGTGAATTGTGCTGCTATAAATGTTTGAGAGTAGATGTCTTTTTTATAGAATGTCTTTTTTTCCTTTGAATAGATGCCCAGTAATGGGATTGCTGGATCAAACAGCAGTTCTATTTTTAGTTCTTTGAGGTATCTTCATACTACTTTACATAGAAGTTGTACTAGTTTGCAGTCCCACAAGCAATATATGAGTATTCCTATCTCTCCACCTCCATGTCAATATTTGTTGTGTTAGAACTTTTAGATGATAGAACTCTACAGAGAGAACTACACAACACTGGGGAAGGAAACAACAGAGGATGGCAAATCAGATGGAAAATCATATCATGCTCATGGATTGGCAGAATCAACATTCTTAAAATGTCTAGACTTCCCAAAGTTATCTACAGATTCAATGCAATCTCTATTAAAATACCAACATCATTTTTCACACATCTAGAAAAAATAATTCTACATTTTGCATGGAACCAGAGAAGATCCTGTACAGCTAAAGCAACCTTAAGCAAAAAGAACAAATTTGGGAGGAATCAATTTACCAGACTTCAAGCTATACTACAAAGGCTATAGTAATCCAAACAGCATGGTATAAACACAAGAACAGAGACATAGACCAATGGAAAAGGACTGAAAATCCTGACATAAAGTCATCCTCATATTGTCATCTGATCTTTGACAAAGCAGAGAAATACATACACTGGGGAAAAGAATCCCTATATAATAAATGGTGCTGGGAAAACTGGATAGGCACATGTAGAAGAGTGAAACAGGATGTGCATCTTTCACCTCTCTCCTCTTACAAAAATAACTGATGATAGATAAGAATTCTAAAAGAAAATATTGGAAAAACTCTTACAGATATTAGCCTAGGCAAATAATTTATGAGGAAGAGCTCAAAAGCAATCACAACAACAAAA